CCCCATGGGGATGGGACTGATCCTCTCCCTGCCATCCCTTTGGCCACCTGGGGGCTGCAGGCTGTGTCCCCACAGCCACCAGCGGTGCAGGGGCAGCAGGAGCTGGGGGACACGCACAATGATCCGCAGGGTGTGTTTGGTGCTCACCACGCTGTCGTACTCCTCCAGGGCCTCGCTCTCCCCCGCCGTGCTGCTGAAGCTGCTGGTGCTGGAGGAGGAACGGGACATGTTCGACCACCGCCCGTTCTCTTTCAGCTTGAGAAAAGGCCTGGGGAGAGGCGGAACGGAAGGAAGGGCGTGTGGTGTCACAGGGAACGGTGGCCCTGGGGCTGGGACAGGGACAGAGCCTCTGTGCACCCCGGAGCAAAGCGCTGCCGTGGGGATGAACCTTTCGGGTGCTTCAGAACCATTTCCAAAGGTTTGGGGTGGGGTATGGGGTGGGAGCCTCAGCAGGGACCGTGGGTCAGGGGGGACAGGCACTGGGACCTTCCTGTGCCCTGGCTATTCAGGCAACCCCTGTCAAATGCTGCTCTTTGTAAAGACTAAAAACTGTGCTCSTGAATCACCAGAATCTCTTCTCCCTTCATATCAAACTTATTTACAGTAAAATTTAGCTATGGTTTTGTTTGACAAATTCCCTGATATCTGTTGAGCTGCGGTGGGAGGAGGACGGGCTCCTCCCAGCTCACCTGTCTTTGTTGGGGCAGATTTCRGGGGAGCTGGGGTTGGACGAGGTTTCAGATTTCATCTCTTGGGAAGAATGTCCCATGTCCGGTGTCTTCTGGGCTCCAGAAACACTGTCACTGAGGGCACAAACAGACAAGTTATACAAGAGATTGAAAAAGGATGGTCAGACTGTACTACCTGACACCAAATAAGAGCTGTGAGGGTGGCAGATGCTCGATGGGCACCACCACAAACTCACCACCGTGTCCTGCTCTCCTGGCTCTCGGATGTGGTGTGCAGGCGAGGGAACAGCCCCGAGCGGCGCTTGATGGGGCTCCGGGACTGGTTCTTGGCAGCAGCAGCGGGGACAGGCGGCTGAGAGCAGAGAACAG